AAATAACCCGAAGGAGGCTACGCCGATGTATAAGAGTCTCCTTGGGGAACAAAAGATGGCCCTGAAACCCGTTTATTCGGGTTCAAACGGGCATATTTTGATTGTTTGCCGATGGGTTAAAACGGGAAGACCCACAACAAATAGTAAAGAGATCTTCCATGTCTGTTGCCCCAGTGGGGGATATGAATATTGTCAGTTGTTCAAGTCTTTTACTGTTCTATTGTTAATCTCTGATCCTTCATTTTGATGTTTAAACCTGCCGAAAGGCGGAATGTATCCTTTGAATATGTAAATAGATTCCTGAACCCGTTTATACAGGTTCAAATTCTGTCATTTTCGGTTGTTTAATGGCTCCATTTTTCTCATTTAAAAAATTTTGTGTTTATGACCCCTTTTGGGGGAATGGACTGAATATCGTCAGTCGTTTGTCATACAGTAGTTCAAGTCGAGTCAGTAGTTCAATAAATCAAGAGTCAAACAATTGGCAGTCCGAAACAGAGTCGCGTTCAGACAATTAAAAAACAAGACATTGGAATAGTGATACTGGTTAAGACTACATTGTTCTCTCTACTAAACCTGATTGTTCATACTAACATTTCCATTATCTTCTCTTATATATTCCTGTTTGTAATATAAAATGTGTTATTCAATTCCTGTGTTTTTATTTATTCTTTATTGGTTCTACCTTTTATGTTATCACCGTGGTACAAGGAACTGACCCTAACAGAAATTATTAAAATTTTTTGCTTATATCTAATGAAAATTTAAACTTTTAGTTTAAATCGAAACTTAAAATAAAAGCTTCAAGAACGATTTTTAATTTTTAAATTTAATTTTAAATATTAGCTATCAACTTTTTCTTTTATATTTACCTATATGGTTTACTTACAAAAAATCAATGGGAAAAAAAAAAATGGACAAAATTTATGACTAATTCCAAAAATTTAAGAATATCTTGACTCATAATAAATTTTTAAATCAAAGGAACTTTTAATTTATATATTTTAATATCAAATATCATACTTAATAATATAAAATATATAAAATTTCAGACATTGATTATGTAATCCATAATTAATGAAATATATATTTTTTGCATAAGAACGTAAAAGAATTAAAAAAAAAAAAATTTAAAAAACTTCAATATATGTTTTTCTGTATTTATATTTTCTAGTTTTTACGGACGAAAATACAGTCTTATATACCATCAATTTCAGGACAAATTCAAAAAATTTTTTAACGTTTGAAAGTAATTTAAATGTTAAAACTCCACGAATAAATTAATTTTTTGAATTAAATGTCCTATATATTTACTCCTTTATCAATTAAATTAAAAAAGATAATATTTTTTCTTAAAAACAGTATAAATCAAAATTAATTTTTATTTCTGTTTTTTCAGTATATTTTCATATATATATATATATATATATATATATATATATATATATATAAATAAATAAATATATAAATTTATAATAAATTCAAATCAATATTAAAAAACATTTTATTTAAATATTTATCCCCTTAGAACTTATAATAAAAACCATATTATAAAAATATCTCATCATAATATAAAATATATATATATATATAAAAATATATATATATATATATATATATATATATATGTATTATATATATATGTGTGTATATATGTGTGTGTGTGTATATTTGTATATGTTTTTAAAGGAGAAAGAGAGAAAATAGAAAAACATTTTTAATGACAACGCTTTTTGTCTTAGTATTTTTGTGTTGCGTTATTTTTTAAGGCCTTTTCATAACTGTTGGATTTGAAATTCGTCTTCTCTTAGGCCCAATATATTTATATGCTCATATCCAAATAAATTACGATACGTTATAAACCATTACGATACGACGCAAATGTCATAAAAAATAGTGTCACCACGGGCCTCGGTGACGAAGAGGTTTCTAACTAGACTCGATAAAGCGCTGCTCTCAAAAAATTCCGAATATGTAAGACATCCGAATATATCTTTTTTTTTATTGGACTGTTCCCCCAACAAGCAACGTCGTCATTCCACAAGTCGTTCCTCCATTTATTAGAAGCTGGTTAAAGGAAAGATATAACAAAGATAGAAGTTATTATGCAAATAATCGAATGGGAAAATTATATTGGATGAGTTACCCAGGCCGTTGGTAGAATTGGTATGATATTGTTTTATAATGGTCGGGGTTCGATTCTGGAGTAGTGGTTTTCATTTAATGATGAGTCCCTAGTCCTTTCTCTATTCTGATAATGATTCGATGATTCGAAATTTATATATATCTATATATATATATATATATATATATATATATATATATATATATATAAATTTATATATGTATGTATGTATTTTAATTTTTACAATATATATGGATAGCAATTGACTGAGGAATTTAAGAGCCGAGTTCGAATTCCAGTCGATTCCATTTTACATAATACGTTTAATATGTTAAGTTTAGGTTTAATCCTATTTTCTCTCCGATAAATAGCAGGACATATACATCTATAGCCTTTTGGCATCTGGTCTAGAAGAAGTAAATCTGATTTTTAACTTTAATAATTGAAAAAAAAAGGTTCTTCGTATTTTTCAAAAGTGTGGATAATAAAATTAATTTTAGGCCTTCACCACTATAATCAAATCCCATGTGCCGGTTCTTTCAGCTGTCGGTTTTGGAACTTGAAAATTTCTGCTTGATTTTTCATACGTCGAATTTTCGACAAGAGAATTTATATATATATATAATATAAATTGATTATTAGTAGGATAATTCCAAATCAAGGAAATGAATGAAAAGAGAGTTCAATTTAGATAAAAGAATATAAAATAAATAAATAATATTAAATAATAAATAATTTCCATTTATTATTAAAAAACTTTGGCCTGAAGAGATGAATATTTGTATATTCATGAAATAAAATTATAACCGAATTTATTTTTTAAAATCGTTTCTTATATATATATTTATATATATATATATATATATATATTTATATATATATATATAGATTTTAAATTGTTCTATGGATAAAAAAGTTTGTTTAAGAATTTAAAAAACCAAAAAAATAAAAATCAGCTCTATCAAATATTGAGCAAACTTCCAATAAGTTCTTCTCATATAAAAACATAATATATATAGAAAAAAATATTTATATATATTTATTTATGTATATATTTCGTTATGTATATATATTACTAAGAGAAAAAAAATCAGAACAACATCTATTATATACCTGAAGATGTCTGTAGGAACAGACGAAAGCTTGTAGTAAAAATAACAACTAATACGGCAGAAATTTATATAAACAAGGATCAATTCATTCATAACGGATCTGGAGGTTTTTGTATACTATTTGAATTGTTTGCGAGATGGATGTCTCGCCATTTAAATCATTAACCTTTTATTAGTTTTTTATGTGAATAATTCATGTATATATATATATATATATATATATATATATATATATATATATATATATATATATATATATATATATATAAATATATATATTTATGTTTATATATAAGTACAGTATTAGGTTCAATATTTTATATATATATATATAAATTTAGCCCAGCGTTGCCAAAGGAATTTAACAGTTTCAGATTTAATCAAGTATCGACCATCATAAAGACTGAAAAATAAAATTGACAATGATTATTAACAATGAATACACGCATTTCATAATTAGTTTGTTTTTTTTTTTTACTTTTTCTTTTTTTTTTTTTTTTATATAATTGATATAAACCCAAAAAAAAATTTTGTTTTCAATCGTTATGAGTCTACTATTGAATAGAATTTTTCAATTTTATTATGAACAATTGTATTGTAATTTTTGTTGAAATCGGTGATCTTGTGGATATTCCAATTTTTGGCGCTGTTAAACCAATTGCAAAGTAATTTTAATTAGTCCTTTGAAAGTTTTGTTGAAAAGATTTGAAAAATGTAGGAAATCTGATCCAATATATAAACGTACAGACATACACACACACAACCTGGTTTTATAATATATATATATAAAATATATATATATATATATATATATATATATATATATATATATATATATATATAATTCAGTGATTTCAAAAACATTTTATTTTTTAAAGTATTTATTTATTTATATATATTTTATATAAATTAAAATTACTTTAATTATGAAAACAGTAATTTTAATTTATTTATAAATAAAACATTATTTTCTGATTTGTTGTTTTAAACAATTTGAAATATCAAATATATATATAAATAAATAAATACTTTCATAAAATAAAACATTATAATTTTTAATTTGAAACTTTTTATATATATATATATTAAGAAAAGTATACGTGGTTCTCATTATGCTATATATATATATATATATATATATATATATATATATATATATATATATATGTTTATATATCATAATATTAATACTATATTTCTTTACATATATATATATGATGAAAAATTGAGGACAATTTGAAATATCAAATATATATATAAATAAATAAATACTTTCATAAAATAAAACATTATAATTTTTAATTTGAAACTTTTTTTCTATATATACATATTAAGAAAGTATACGTGGCTTCTCATTTTATATATATATATATATATATATATATATATATATATATATATATATATATATATATTTTTTAAGATATATCACACAATAAGACTATATTTCTTTACATATATATATATATATATATATATATATATATATATATATATATATGTGTAAAAATTATTACAGTGTTATTTTTTCCTCAGTGCAACTTGATCCTTCCTTGTCTCCCATTTTCATCTGAAAGCTCATTTTAACGCCTTTCTCTCTTCTCATTCCCAATTTTAATAATTCTTTCTATATATAACAATGAATTGACTTTTTTTATATATTTAATATGCCTCCTTTTTCATTCTTTGTACAGTTATTTTCCACCTGTTTTTAATCAGCCATAGACCTCTCCCTGCTAATCTTTAACATTTATGTCTCTTAGTCTTTCTTATGTCTCTCTCTTTTTTTGGAATCTTTCTTTTTTAATTTTTGAATATCCGTTTTGTATCCTCTTTTTTTCTACCATAACATTTATTTTTGTCCGAACCAGTTGTCAGACTAACAAAAAAAATCGAAATAAAACTCACAGATAAACTCGCATCGTCAGAAAAAAGAATTCAAACTTTAAAACACAAATAAATGGCCTGTCGATGCCAGAATTTTCAAAAATTTTTCAGGCCAACCGCCAGGCGTCGCTTAAAATCGCAGGTTGCTGTTAAATATAAAAACGTAAAATAATTCTGCATTTATTTAAAGAGACAAATCGTCTCTATAATAATATGCAAAAAAAATTCGCTGGCAAAAATCACTTGTTTATTTTGACCAGATTTATAAAAGAAATATCATCGATTTGAAAAAGAAAATTTTGTCAGTTAATATGTAATGATATGAACGACAAGAAGAGAACTCATCCTGCCAAAAGCGAATGCTTTACGATCTCCTCAAAAGATAGAGAGAATTTTCGAAGAACAGAAATATTCGTTCTACAGGAGGATGCTGAAATACCATGGAAAAACATGTGAGCAACGACGAAGTTTTAGAAAATGGAAACAAAAGGAAACTTATTTTAACATCAGTTTTTATCAAATGAAATTTCTACAGAAGGATGCTGAGGATTTAAATGGACCGAATATGTATTTGAATTTACGAGGTTTTTGAGAAATGGAAAAAAAAGGAAAATGTTTAACATCAGGAAGACAATTTAATTTGAAGTTTCTAGATAAGGATGCTGAGGATACCATGGACGAATATTTGAGCAACGACGAAGTTTTAGAAAAATGGAAACAAAAAATAAAATTTATATTCAAAAATCAGGAAGAAATAATATCGATCATGTATTTTTATATACATGACTGGCTAAGATTTTTTCCCGCAGTCGGTTGCCATTTCTATCTGCAGATCAGTTGATATCCATTTTTATAGATTTTTGGACTGTAAACTTTTTACCTATAAGTGGAGAAGAAGAAATAAACATTTAAAAAACTTTTGAAAAAATGTATTATTAAAGCACGTAAAAATCGAATATAAAATCCTTTTACTGTAAAAATGTATTCGGCTACTTTGATTAATTAAACAAGACAAAATTCATCAGTCCATGCCATGCGTGATAATTATTATTCAAATTTTTCCTCAAAATTGCCATTTCTTTCTGCGGTAGAACAGATAATTCTAAGTTCTTTTCGAACCCGGTCTGTTAAAGTGATTTACCCAAAAATGTGGAGGAGAAGAAGAGTCATTGTATATTTCTCAAAATATTAAATGATTCGTAAATGTAACTCTTTTGTGTGGGACACGAACTCTTAAAAAATTGTTCAATTCCTCAATCCGATCCGGCATCCATTCCTTCACCGTACGTACAGATTAATTAATTAATCTTGTTTTAAATATCTAATTCATTTTGATATTTTCTTATTTTGCTGAACGAATTTTGACGAAGTAAGATGGCTGACAACCTAACAAAGGCATGAACGCGTTTCCTTGGTGCTCATTTATGGGATAAGCGGGTGCGGCACACAGATCTGTTGAGCCAGGATACAAAAGGCCGAATTCCTATTGATAAGACAACTGTTGGACGTCTAGTTAATCGTTTCAAAGAAACTGGTAGTGTCGTTGATCGCTCTTGAATTGGCAGACCGAAAAGTGCAACTGATCTGACATCAACGGCAGTTGTTTTAGCAACTCATCCAAACAGCCGCCCCCCCACAAAAAAAAGAAACAATAATTTTAGTCAGGTGTTAGTCAAACCACAAATAACAATTAAATAGCTAGCAAATAAAATGTCCAGATTTAAATACAATTAATACTTTTCTTAAATTAACCATATGGTTCGAGACCTTTAATTCACTTTTTTCTGTATATATAAAATGAGTTAAGTAACAGCAAAATTAAATCAATTCAAATTAACAATATAAAATTGTCAAAATGTTAGATTAAAATCTGAACCGTTGTATCTTAGAAATGATTTAAGATATCTTACTGGAATTCTCCGAGATTTTTGTAACACTATCAGACTCTACTTTGAGGAAAAGAAATTAATAATTACTCACCACTCTTAACGGAAGAATCGTGATGAAATCGATCATAAATGAACATGACATGTTCTTCATTAATTAATCATAGCTAAGGATTTTATGAAGGATCGAAATAAGGTTCATTATATATATATATATTATATATATATATATATATATATTTTATATATATATATTTTCAATAGCATTTTTTTTTTTTAAAATTAAAGATGATCCTCGCCCAGAAAACGTCTAAAAAAATGTCCTGGAGTAAAATTCGACACTATATCAGGTTTCCATATACGATTTCATTTTTAAAATGTTTTCTTTTCCTTTACTGTCATAACTGAAATACTTCTCTCAGGTGCCAAACGTCTTACGGGTTCAGTTGGATCTTTTCTAATTGATCTCTTTAGCATTAAATTGAAATGATGATTCCTGTAATGGCTACCTGGCTCAGTTTTGCTCTATACTGTTCCCTATTTTTTAAACTTATTCCCTGTTCATGGTTCATGAATGGATTTTAAAGATGAAAGCGAGATTATGAATGTTGGTACCATTAAGGAAGGTCAGCGTGATCTCTTTCCTCTCACCATTGCTCATTTAGGAAGACAGTGGGGCTGACACAAAACAATTCTAAACTGTTCTTTTTGTAGCTGAATAACTCAGAGGGTTTTTTTCAGTGATTCTTACGACAAATGGTCTCAAGATGTCTAAACGTCATATGTGAAAACCTATTAAAAATAAACAATAAGTTAAGTGTTTTTTTTTTGTTTTTTTATATTAAACATTTTGTGAGATGGATAATTATGGTGTTACACGATCTGGACAATTTTGCTGTTACATCTGATATATATATAATTATATATATATATATATATAAAGAGAGAGAGAAAGAGAGAGAGAGAGAGTGAGAGAAAAAGAGATAAAGAGCGCGAGAGACAGGCAGACAGACAGACTGCCAGACACGAAAACAGATTTTATTCCATTACTTAAAAATCGAAAAATGAAAACAAACAAGCATAAACGAAAAAAAAAAAAAGAAAAAGTAAAATAAATAAACGAAAATAAGTAAAATAAAACAAAGCAAAGGAAACCAGCAACAAAAGTTTTGTCGGCATTAAATAACCCATTGAGGTTGATATGCCGTAAAACAAACCAAACCAAACCGAATTATTTGTTTCTGATAATTATTATTACATTTACCTGTGTTTATGTGTGTATTTGTAGTTTAACTTGTTCATTATTTACTTAATTTGTTTATTCCTTTATTTAGACTTTTTATTTCATTCTTTAAATGTTTTTTGTTTGTTTTTTTTTTAGGTATTTTTTTTTCATTATTTCGCTCCAAACAAAACAAAAAAGCCGCTAAGACGTTTACTAAGTGTTAGAGAATATGAGAAAAATACTGTTAAGAAGGGAGGACAATCAAAGAACAAGAATTAAGAAGATAACGATTGACATGATTTTTTAAGTTTGGAAGATCAAACTGGACTGGGAAGCAAGAAGCCGGAAGTGAATTCTACAATTTTATTAGAAGAAACTGACAGCTTTATATTTATCAACAGCACTTTTTCTTGAATTGGTTTTTAGATTATAAGAATTTCAGTTTTTTTGATAATAATGGTTTACTGACAGAAGTCTTACTGATTGACCCATAGCTGGGGGAGAAGAAGCGGATTCCTACCTCTCCCAATGGTATTTGCGCGTAAGTGAATATAACGAACACTACAGGAACTGAAACTCAGTCTGCCGATTAACAATTCTGAGCCATTATCCATTACACCACCCACACATCCAAGCGTACAGTACCCGGTACTCCCAAGCGGTTACCCATCTATGTACTGACCGGGATCAACGTTACTTAACTTCGGTAGTCGTACGGGAATCAGTGCGAAAATCTTAATGAAGGATATAGGCAAAAATAAGCTCCTTAAAAATAAGTTAATATAACTTTTTATTGAATTGGTTCAAGTCAATAATAATAAGAAGGTGTTTGATGTACAGTAGGAACGGTACTGATATTTGGTTGGAAATTGATGAGACGTGTTTTTTAATTCTTTCACCTTAAGCAAGGCTACAAAGCCACTAAGATATAAGTGGTTACTGAGTGTGAAAGAATGTGAGAAAAAGAAAACATTATTAAGAAAAGAGAACAACAAAAGAACAGAAATTAAGAAGACCGAAGATAACGATTGACACTGCATTAAAATTATTCCAGTCAAAGGTGATTGGAAAGCAGGAAGCCAGAAAAGACTTCCACAAGCGAGAAGTGCGAGAGAAGAAACTGTTAGTACAGAACTTACGGTTGCATATAGCTATTTCAACTGTAAAAGGACGAGACCCTACCGCCAATCTAGTACGGCGTTTAAATTAATAAAATCTAGATAGCAGCAAAAAAGGAAAAGCTCACCAGAAGAATTACTATGAAAACATTTATAGAAAAGGAACAGGGGAACTATTTTACGGCGGTGCAAACAACGTGTGAAAGTTATCGAAGCCTATTACGAACATTGACGTTCGAACAGAATTTGAATGAGAAGTTCCCAGGTCGCATCATCTCTCGAAACAGCAAAGTCAATTGGCCACAACGATCGTGCCACTTGACGCCTTTAGATTTCTTCCTTTTGGATCATCTCAAAAGTAAAGTCTATGCCAACAAGCCAACAGCAGATGAAGGATTAGATAATAAGGCATATTGGTGAGATCGAGGAGCAACTATGCAGAGACGTCATCAAAAATTTTGACCATCGAGTGGAGGTGTGCCGCCGAAACCTTGACGGACATTTGGGAGATATTATTTTTCACAGATAATTGCCATGAGTTAAATAACATGATCCAATAGAGAAATAAATAAATTTTCATCAATAACACTGATTTACTTACTGCTGACTATGATCCGTCTTAATGAAACACCCTTATATATAATCCGTCTTAATGAAACACCCTTTATATAATGTATAAATTTGCTTTTATCATGGTAGTATGTTAAAGGGTATTCGTCTTGCTTTTTTTTTCGATTTTTAAGTAATGTAGAAAAAAGATTTTAAGTAACGTAGTAAAAAAAAAAAGTATAATTATAGGAAAGATTCTCTTTACGTTCATCTTTTGCGCAGTTCGTAACCAAAAATATATTCATCATTGTCGCCAAAAATTTTGTTATCTAATTTCATGACAGTAAAATAATTGTTTCCGTACGCAAGCGAGCCGTTGACAAAGAAAGAGATGACAAAACTTGCTTCATTTTATATTAAGAAGAGACAAGTGTCACATCCATCTCACGACTCTTATTAACAAAGCATTTTCTCCCGTTTGTACGGGTGGAGGAGATCGTAGGAATGATAAGGTCTAGCGAGAAAGATTTAGTTGTGTTGTCAGACACTTAAATCGCGTTATGGTTGGGTGCGGCCCCAAGTGCAACAGTGTGCTAAACCAGTCTGCGCTTGTTTGGTGCTTGGCGTAACACAAGCGGCAAACGATTTACCTTCTGCAATCTTCTTTTACAAGCCATCGTTGGCAGTTGAAAAATGGAAGCAAATATCTTATGGTCGTCGCAAGAGATCGAGCGACTGCTAGTCTCTGCAGAACCATCCTCAGTATCTTGGAAATCCCTAGTGTTATTGTGATCTCAGATGTCTCGCCATATTTTCGAAGATTGTGATTATTTTATTTTTCCTTCCTTAACGACCGCTGAAGACGTTTCTTAACCCTGTGTCAGTGACATGGGCTGTTTTCCCTACACTTTTTGAAGTACTCGTAATTCCTTGTTGTCTTCTTGTTCCTTTTGCTCCCTTCAAGTACTCTCCTGATTGAGTGAGGATGTTTAGCACGCGGTGTGACGCAGTTGTTGCTCAGTTGTGAGAGGCAGACATAGCTTTGTCTTCCTTTTCATGATGTCTTGTCACGCAACCTAACTAACGAAGTTTGATTCCATGATATATATATATATATATATATATATATATATATATATATATATATATATATATATATGTTTCTAAATGTTTCAAAACAGAATCTATGATTTGGAATCAGAAAGAAAGTAATCTTTCCCGAAACCACCATAAAAATTCAGAATGACGAATCAATCCTAAACACTTGAGACACATTGTTTTATGGGTCTGTTTAAATAAATTTCTCGTAGGTAGTAAACAAAAGTGAACACAGGATACATTGCGCTAGGCGTAATTTTTTTTTTTCAACAGTGCAAAATAATACAGAACTAAAATATTCACCTGAAAACTGGAGTCATGTTCTTAAATAGCCTCGTCAAATCTAGACTTTCATATTCCAACTCGTTCAGAAATGTCTACATAGTCCTGGGTATGAAGATAAATTACATCCGGCAGCAAGGCTTCTGATCGGCAGATTGGAGGTTTTGAGGAATGTGGAACAGGCTCTTAACTGCTGTTGCTCCCAGGTTCACCCTGACCCGGGGTGGTAGAACCTGTTAGGGATCTAGGTATGGGCAAATAGTGAACCTCCCAAGCAAAAAGGATTTTTCAACAATATTCCTTACGTGTATAATAAAATTACGAATATAAGATCAAACAAAAGTTACTCAGAAATATAAAACGCTATTTACCACTGTGTCTCACGGAACCCCTAGTGACATCTTGCAGAGCCCTGAGGTTGGGAAACACTGGTTTAGACATTTCTGAACAGGTTGGGCAATATACATAACACCCATATGAGAATATTGATCTGATGAGGCTATTCAAAAATATGACTCGAGTTCTTAGATTATTATTTTGGTTTTGTAGCATGTTGTGGTATTGGGTGAAACTATCTTTGCACAGCCTATTATATGTTTAGTTAATTACTCCTTATTTTCTATAGTAAAATCAATCCTGGGTATGACGATAAACTACATCCGGCAGCAAGGCTTCACGAGGTTTTGAGGAGCATAGAACCATTTCTTAATTGCTATTGTTCCCAGGTTCACCTTAATCCTGGGTGGTAGCACCTGTTAGGCTCCCAGCTATGTGCAAATAGGGAACCACCAAACTGTGTAGTCTAGTGAAAACTTTGGTTGTTTAATCCTTAAGGACTTGATATTAATTTAAACAGAAAAAAAGGCATCACTGTCATTCCTTCTGTCATTAAAATTCATTTATAGGTAAAGTCTAATATTTTTAACTCAATGGAACTGTATTTTGCTTTCTACTCTCGTGTGCACTTTAGAGTAGAAAGCAAAATACAGTTCTATTGAGTTAAAAATACACATTTCAGACTGTGACAAAAGATAAATAAATAAAGAAATATAATCTGGGTTTTTAAAATAAACACGAACATAGCATCCAAGAAAGAATAATATCTGAGTGACTGTTGACAACAGTTAACCACAAGTTGAAGACAAAAAATAATATAGCAAAGTCTTTTAGGAACAGAGGAAATGAAGAGTAGCAGCTGGAGCGAAGAAAACTGCAAATTACCTTGTCAAACCAAGTGACATCATGTTTATCCTTATAAGACATTTTATGCCGAAATTTAATTTTCTTGGGTGATTTGGTAATTTTTCTTTTTACTATTAAAATCGATCATTGGAATTGTTTTGTTTTTTTTATATTACTAAAATCTATTGCTGGCATTTTTACTATAAAAATATATTTTTATACTTTCATAGTGTTTTGACCAAAGTTTAGTGGTTCACTGTTTGCCCGTAGCTAGGAGCCTAACAGGTGCTACCACCCTGAGTCAGAGTTAACACAAGGGTTAATATGAAATGTGTAGATACCCATTTTATAGAAGGTGAAACTATTCTTTTGCACAGTTACCTATATATAAGCGTTCCTACCCTGTCATGTTTGTTTTTTAAAAGTTTTCTATACAGACTTACACTGAGTGGCTTCATGATCTATGCGTCAGATAAACATTATTCATTTTGTTTTTATTTATTTATTTCCCTTCCAATGAAAATGTCCTTTCTTTCTTTCTTTTTTTTTTCTATCGATATTTTATTTCTATCTTTCTTTTTCTTTCTTTGCTCGTGAAATGTGTCTTTCTTTTTTGTGCTTAGACTTCTTTTTCAATGTCTCTTTCTTTTTCTCTTCCTTTTGTTTTCTTTCTTTTTTTTCTCTTGCGTATTACAATTCTATTATGCTGTATTTCTTTCTTTCTTTCTTTCTTTCTTTCTTTCTTTCTTTCGCCTGATCACCGTAGTCTTCCTCCCCTTCTCAAATATGCTTTTCTTTCTTTCTTTTTCTTTCTTTCTTTCTTTCTTTTTTCTTTCTTTTTTCTTTGATCACCGTTTTTTCTTTCTTTTCTTTCTTTCGCCTGATCACCCTAAGTCTTTCTCCCTTCTCAAATATGCTTTTCTTTTTCTTTCTTTTTTCTTTCTTTTCTTTCTTTTCTTTCTTTCTTTCTTTCTTTCTTTCTTTCTTTCTTTCGCCGTGATTCCTTTCTTTCTAGTCTTCCTTTCCTTCTCAAATTTGCTTTTTTCTTTCTTTCTTTTTCTTTCTTTCTTTCTTTCTTTCTTTCTTTCTTTCTTTCTTTCTTTGTTCGCACTTTAGTTTCTTTCTATTGTTCTTTCTTTCTATTTTCTACTTGTAGTTTCCTCTTTTCTTTCTTTCTTACTTATTTTCACTTCCCGGTATTTTTCTTTCTTTCTATCTTTCTTTCTTTCTTTCTTTCTTTCTTTTTTTCTTTGTTATTCGTCTCATAAAAGTTTTCTTTCTTTTTTCTCTCATCTTTTACAATTTTACATTTTCTTTCTTTTCTTTTTCTTTCTTTCTTTCTTTTACCATCAAATTTAATTATTTTATTTTTCTCTTATTTATTACAATTTTTCTTTTTTTTCTTTTTCTTTACTTTTTCTTCTTTTCTTAACATATTCTCAATCTTTTTCTTTCTTTCTATACGTTTTTTGTTTTCTTTCTTTTTTTTCTTTCTTTCTTTCTTTCTTTCTTTCTTTTGAAGGAACCATTCTTCGAACCTGCATGGGTTTCATTCCACGCAAATATAAAGGCGAATCTCATAATGACAAACACAAATCAGTGAACAGAGACATTAATAACTTACAAAATTTCCCACGACTACATGTGAATGACTGCCGCCACATCGTCTAACAAGGCGCCACTTGACCTTGTGCCGTACTTCAAACCATATCTAATTAAAATCTCACAAAGTACGGAAAAAAACGAACGTACAAAGAATCAAATGAACACTGAGGAAAAACAGATATGCTTCAAGTATACGTGTAAACGTTTGTATTTCGTCATTTAGAATTTGATGTGGATCTGTCGGCATTGGTTCGCCATTACATCTGATACTTCCATCAATTTTCCAGTCTGCTTGCAATACTATTAAAATGTCTTGGAAAGAAATTATTATTATTAATAATATTATTATTATTATTATCGCCGGACGTGGGGAAATTCCACTAGTATTGACAGCTAAGATGTTATCACGATTCTTGCATATAAATTTCAGCAAATGTTGACAGAATAGGGCTATTGTATGCATATTAAACATAAATTTGCACATTGAAAATTAATAGAGACAATGAAGAAAAACAGGTTAGGCTAGAAAGAAAGAAAGAAAGAAAGAAAGAAAGAAAGAAAGAAAGACTGAGGATGGATGAAAGCGTGAGTAGGGAGATATTAAAAAGAAAGGGTGAAAGAAAGACTAAAAATGAAATTGTGAGAAGGTAGATATTAGAAAGAAAGAAAAAAAGAAAGAAAGAAAGAAAGAAAGACTGAGGATGTATGAAAGAGTGAGTAGGTAGATATTACAAAGAAAGAGTGAAAGAAAGACTAAAATGAAATTGTGAGAAGGTAGATATTAGAAAGAAAGAAAGAAAGAAAGAAAGAAAGAAAGAAAGAAAGAAAGACTGAGGATGGATGAAAGCGTGAGTAGGGAGATATTAAAAAGAAAGAGTGAAAGAAAGAGTAAAAATGAAATTGTAAGTAGGTAGATATTAAAAAGAAAGAAAGAATGAAAGAGAGAAAGAAAGAAAGACTGAGGAGGGATGAAAGCGTGAGTACGTAAATATTAAAAAGAAAGATAGAAAGAAAGACTAAGAATTAAATTGTGAGTAGGTAGATATTAAAGAAAGAAAGAAAGCCTAACACAGAAAGAAAGAAAGCCTAAAAATGAAAGTATGAGCAGGTAGATATTAAAAAGAAAGATAGAAAGAAAGAAAGACTAAGAATGAAAGCGTGAGTAGGCAGATATTATAAAGAAATAAATAAATAAAGAAAGAAAGAAAGAAAGAAAGAAAGAAAGAAAGAAGGAAAAGTAGAAGGTGTAGGGAAAATATTCGAAAGAAAGAAAGACTGAAAGGAAGTGGGGGAAGATATGAGAAAGAAATAAAGACTGAAGGCTGAAAGCGTAAGTTAAATAGAAATAGATAGATAGATAGATAGATAGATAGATAGATAGATAGAACGTCTGTGGATATGTTGAAAAAGGCTATGTAGGTAGATATGAGAAAGAAAGAAAGAAAGAAAGAAAGAAAGAAAGAAAGAAAGAAAGAAAGTCTGGGATATGTTAAGAATGAACTGTTAAGTAGGCAGAGATGTGAAAGTAAAAAAAAAAAAAACAACGAAGGTAAGATATGAAAAAGAAAGAAAGATTTCTGAATTAAAATCCGGTCATGTACAAAATCTAAGACACCAAAAGCAATCAAGTACAAAAATTTCAATATTTATGAAGTATTTTGTGACACCGAAATCCGAAGGAGCATTGAAATAGCAAAAGTTGCCTTCAAAAAGCTAAGCAAAGTATTAAGAAACGGGAAAACATAATTAGAAACAAGCTTTGTAAATGGTTGGCAGAACGGGTTAGGAGAGAGGGCGTTCTTTTCGGTTGTTCCTTGTATCTTGGAAGAGGGCAACCCTGTGGTATTTTCCCTGAAGTTAGCTGACTGAATAAGACTTAACGTTGAAACCTTGACTCTTCCATTTTTGCTATATGTCCTGACCATCAAAGACGGTGTTTAATGATCAGCAATTCAATGTTTTGACTCTTGGCTCTATCCAGGACTTTGGTGTTGGTCACATAATAATTCCATTTGATGTTCATGATTGAATGAAGCTTTTGCTGGTTAAAGTGTTCTAAATTTTGGATACTGTAACAATATAGAGTCCAGGTTTTGCAAACAGAGCAAAGTTGAAATGACAACAGCATTATCGACCATAATTTTTGTTGTTAAGTTCAGATCTTTGTTGTTGAAGATGCATTTGATTAGCTTTCCAAATGCCCCCATGTGCAGCTCCAATTCTGGGTCCCATATTCTTTTCGGAGGTGAAATAAGCTGTTTAGATATGCAAAATGCTCTACTTGTTCTGAAGGTGTGTCACAGATTATAATATCAAAATCTGGTAAGATGGTATTTGGGGCTGGCTGTTCAAGGACCTTGGTTTTCTTGATGCTTACTGTAAGGCCAAAACACTGGTTGTGAATTTGTTTCAAACGATTTAGGCCCAAATCCATATCACGGCCAGAGTAAAAAAAAAAGATCTAAAACTTGCAAAAAGTATTACTAGCCTCCTAAGAAATTGTTGTCTTTTTTATCTTGTATCTAAGAATTTAATTTCTTTATTATGATGGCGTTGATGACTCAGTAAACTAATTCTTGCATGAAAGAGCCAATGGTATTGACTGCATCATAATGTTGGTGGAGGACAAAGTTGATTTTGTCAACTCTTGTTTGACTTGTTCCTTTTCTCTTCTGGTGTTTTCAAAGTTTTTGGTTCCAATGATGATGCAACATCACAAGTTGGTACAAACTTGTGCATTTGTTTCAAACGATTTAAGCTCAAGTCCAGTGGCTTCTAGTGTCTTTGAGTTGGCCCTTGTATCTTCAAAGTAGGCACCATGTGGTCTTTTCCCTAAACTGAGCTCACTGAACAAGACTTGATGTGATAACCTTGACTTTCTTTCTTGCTACATGTCCTGACCATCAAAGACGGTGTTTAATGATCAGCAATTCAATGTTTTGACTCTTGGTTCTATCCAGGACTTTAGTGTTGGTCACATAATAATTTCATTTGATGTTCAAAACCGAACGAACCTTTTGCTGGTGAAAGCGTTCTAATTTGGGGATATCTCAACGATATAGAGTCCAAATTTCGCAGCCATAAAGCAAAGTTGAAATAACAACGACATTATGGACAATACTTTTTGTCGTTAAGTTCGGATCTCTGTTGTTGAAATTGCGTTTGATTAGCTTTCTAATTACTCCGTATGCAGCGCCAATTATGTGTGCCCTATCCTTTTCTGCGATGCACCTGTTTTGATAAAAGTCTGCCTACATACATTATAACCCGGATATAAGAGAGTTGTCGGACCGGATAAGAAGTCTCTTATATCCGAGTTTGGTCTATTTTGTTTACATTAACACAGGCTCTAATTTGGGACCAGAGAAAATCTCTCTTACATCCAGGTTTCTCTTATATCCTGGTCTCTTATATCCGGGTTACACTGTATATGGAAAATGCCTGTGTAAGGACCTTTGCTTTTCTTGATGTTTCCTACAAGGACAAAACAATGGTAGGCCTTATCAAAGACATGAAAATTGTTAAAAAACTTCGTGCAATAATGGCAGATCGGCGGATAAAGTTCATCGTTCATATACGGCAATTACCCGACAATCGGTCAAGCAAGATGAATATCTCAGAACTGCTAAATACCAAGAAGTTGTCCTAAAATATTTTTTAGCGAAATATCAGCTTCTTATCGCGCATTTTATGCCGAAATTTAATGTTCTTGAAAACATCAGTAATTTTCTTTAAACAAATTATTACTGGATTTTATCCTTCAAAAATGTATTGCTGGTATTTTTGTTTTCAAAAATGTATTGCTGGTGATTTTATTTTTTTTTCAAATATGTATTGCTGGTATTCTTTTTCAAAAATGTGTTTCTGGTATTTTTTTACGAGGAAAATGTATTGCAGCTATTTTTACTATAAAAAGGTGTCTATATATTTCCATAGTGTTTTGTTCCATTTATCAAAAGCTACAAAGTACGGTGTGGAGAATCATAAGTGCCAACGTCCTTAAGGGACACTGTTCTTTGAAGAAGAATATCAACATTTTTCGAAATTACAATTAGTGTTTTGTCAACCATCCTCAGTATCTGCGCAATGAACTAATTTACCCATAGCTGGGGCCCTAAAAAGTGTTACAACGGCGCGTCAGGTTAGGTTGGACCTGAGAACAACAGCAATTAAGAGGTGGTTCCAATCTCCTCAAAACCTGCAATCTTCTAACCAGAGGCCTTGCTGCCGGATGTAGTTTATCGTTATACCCGCCCTAAAATGACATGGCGCACTACCAAGTTAAAGAGAACGAAACACTGATTCTAGGTTCCACAATTTGCCTAAGATCGTATTCTAAGTGGAGGAAAATTTCAGCCCTTTGTTGGGAGGCAGTTTATGTAATAAGGTAAAGTAGGTATGGTATGTTTTGCGACGTACAGTAGCCGTTAATGATGAAGTATAACTCAAGACTTCAGCGTTAAAAGAAAACAGTATTTAATTACAAACAAATAAATACTTAACAAGAACAAAGAAGTAAAATTCAGCCAAAGATAATTAACCATTTCCGTGAATACCTTGTTAATACCTCGGCTCGGCTTAACGTCCGGTAAATTCTAAATCAAAGACCAAGTCATCGACGCATAATAATTCACACTAATTCGACTGGATAGTTCCATTCAAAAGTCACCTAATAATCACTGCAGTCAGTAGCCTGACACCGCTATTTATACACCTGGGGAAAACATATATTCATAAGTCCAGAGTGTCACGTTCGAACCTCGTTGTCGGTAGTTATTCATTTTCTTCTTATATGACAAAGATACATATATTTTCAATGATTTTAACTTAGGTAGGACTTGACAAAGTATCTTCTGTAAGAACGAGAAGATTTTTTGTGACGGGTAGTGCCCGTTAATAATTAAGTATAACTCAA